CTATAATTATTATTTATTTTTTAATTATCATTAATAATATTTTATCAAAAAATTTAAGTGAATTTACTGTTATTAAATATTATCTCTATTTTTTTTATAATAAACTTTATTTAAAAATAGTGTCAGATTTAATTATAGATATTACATTTAGTGATATAGATTTGGATGAGAAAAGAATGATTATCTTTTCTTATAAATATATATATACTATAGAAACTATGGATATACATATGGAAATAAGAGAATAAGAAATGCTGATAATCCTTTTGCTTCTGGTTTTATTTGTACTTTAGGTACTTTTCAAGTAAAATAGAAAATAATTCTTTTGCCACAATTTTAAATTTATATACTAGTATATTTTCTATAAAATAAATTTGCTTTTTAGTCTACTAGTGATAAGGTGAAATGATAAAAATATAATTTTTCAATTATTCTAGAATATTCTCTTTTCTTCTTTTTCTTTCTTTGTTAAAAAATATCAAGTTTTAATTTATGAAATTAGTTTTTAGGATAATGGTAGATCAGGATATAAAGCTTCAATTAATTACAAATGTCTTAATAAACTAGCCATATTCGTATCTACAATTAAATATAAAAATTATGTGCTTAAAATTTATCTAAATTTTAACGTTCAAAAACAAATTATAGGCAATTCTTCAAATAAAGTTTGAAAAATTTTAGGATTTATAAAACAATATGAAGGAATTCAACTTTTTGGTTTTAAGAATTCATTTACTTAAAAATTAATTCATAAAAACCTACATGCTTTTCAGAAGATTAACACGCTTATTTTTCATTAAAATCTGTATATGATCATAATCTTAGACATTGAACTCTTACTAATATAAAATGGTATTAATTTTTTGAATTATAGGTTAAAAGTAAAAATCCAGTAATTGAATTTAAATCCAGTCTTAAAAAACTTTATCCAAAAAGGATGAGTTTAATGAGTAAGAATTAGAAGTATAGAGAATAATACTATATGCTACAGGTTATCATGATATAACTTCTTTGTCATCTAATAAATCTGAGATAAGAAAATTATTGCATAATTAATTTAGTAAAAATATTTGACAAGGTGTGTATAAAAAAGAAACAAAAAATTATAGCACAAAAATTTATTGTATGTTATAATTTAATTTAAAAAAAAAATGCATTAGATGATAACCAAAGAATCATTAGTTATTAGTAAAAAAATTACATTTTATTATAGTAAAAAAATGGGCCAATAAATAGGAAGTTTATAATAAATAATTTTTTTTATATAAATTAATGAATAAATGTTATTTTAACACTAAAAATGACAATTTTGGATGCATTAAATCGATTATAAAAGTAATAAAGAATTATTACACATATTATATATTCTAATAAAACTCTAATTTTTGGAATTGCTTTAAATATGTATTAATGATAATAAAAAAAATCCAGAAGGCAAGCAAAGAATATTATTAATTATCACTAATAAATTTACATATGATAAATTAAAATTATAATTAGATATAAGATGCAATATAATTTATTTTTAGAATTTAAAATTCTAATAATTCTAATATTAAATATTTAAAATCTAAATCAGTACACATACTGTTATTAAAGCTTGCAAATATGTACAATTTATTGGTTATAATACTCTACCATTATTCAAACCTACTATTCACTGAGTTAAATTATCAGAAGAATTATTAGCTCAATTTAAACATTTTGTTTAAATAAGAAAAATGTAAATATGAGGCCTTTGCAATAGAAAGGGAGGAAACTCAAAAAAAAATAAAAAATGAGTTAATAATGAATCTAAACAAATTATAGTATTTAGAACATTTTTGGCTTATAAACTAAAATTTTAATTTTTTTGGAGTTTCCTCCCTTTCTATTACAAAGACCCCATATAAGTAGTTACAAGATGAATAGTTAGACTGATTTACCTATATTGTATCTTCAAGATACTAAAGCATCCTTGTGAAAAAAATTTTCAGAATCATATCCTAATGATATGAAAAGAACTATATTTATGACACATCTTCAAGGAAATTGATATCAATACAAAGAGGATTTGAAAGGCCTATTTTAATATTAAATTTCTGCTGATCATATCCAAATCAGCAATTAACCTTTTTACGTAAAGGATTTGGCATCTATTCAGATTTTAAACCATTATTTGATTGAAATGTAGTTTCATCACGAGTAATAAATATATGTAACTTTTCATTATTATTTAAGATTGAATCAATTCGTATTCAAGATCATTACCCTCAAAAGTTGGCATAAGCTTTTGATATCTAAAATTAATTAAATTATAAAATTATATAAATTAATATAATTAAATTAAAACATTGAAATCTATTATTATTAAATAAACTTACATGCTAATTTCTTCAAAAAATTGCTTTCAATATTCAATTACGTCTGATCTTTCATGTCCATTCACATACATTCCTTTTTGGTATCTGTCATAAAATAAATCCCATTTTTTTTAACCATCCATTTGCTGTTCAAGTGCTTAAAAATTAAAGATTTAATTAATCTTTAAATATCATTTATAAATATGAAGGTAAATATTTGATTTTTTACCTTATTGTTTTTTTTTGTTTTGATTCCTAATGATGGTAATATTCAGATAAAATATAATCACAAAATTTTTGAATTGTTACATTAAGTTAACCTTTCGTAAATATAATGAAACCTTAAGCCAAACATCTTCATCTTCAAGTAAACTTTTTTCTGGATATTTACCATGACCAATATGTGAAATATTATTATATAATGCATATGATTTAGCCCAAGTTCGAACACAATTTGAAAACCATTCTCCACGATTTAGTAATTGTGTAATGATTCTAGCTGATTCTAATTTTCGATGATCAGATTTTTGTAATTGAAAAAAAGTACTGAACTGCTTTAAATTGAACCTTTTGACCGGATGTTAATTTTTTATCAATTTTAAGCTTATGTTCAATTTTTATAATAAATTCATCTAATAATTATTTGTTTGTTTCTTTTCTTTTATTATCAACATTCCTTTCATAACTTTCATCATCATCATTCCATTTATCTCCATCATCACCATTTCTTTCTTCTCTTTCATCATCAATTTTTTCGTTACTTATTAAAAAAAAACTTATCTAATGTTTGACCATTGGTCTTGATAGCTTCATGTATAGACTTTCTTTTCCTTCTTTTAGTTCTAGCTGAATTTCCATAATATGTAAGTGGACACTTTGATTATTTTAAACTTTCATATTATCAACTAAAGTTTGAAATAAACTTTCCTTCTTTGTCAAAGTATCCATCTTCCAATTCAAATTCTGCATCTAAATCTTCATTATCAGAGGAATTATATCCTTCGTTATCATCTATATTTTCAAAAGACTAAAAAAGATTAAGTTTATTATAAACATAAAAAGAATTTTTTAATTAGTTTATTCATACCTTCCGTTTTTTCGCAAGTGTAAAACCTTTTGTTTTACTCTCGGTATTTTTTGATTATAAATCAGTATTACGATAGATTTATTTTAACTAAAATCAAATGTAACACAAGTTTAACTTTTTTTTCATAGAACTTACCATATAAAATCCGTTATGTTACACATGTAATTCTGGCAGAATTATATAATGCGGGGCCAAAATTATATGGCCAAATCGGATATTTTAAAAGCTTATAACTTTTAACGTTGAGTTTATTTAAAAAAATAATTTCTCAATAAATTTTTATTAACATTTAAAGATCGTCAAATTTTATTGGATGTCTTATGATGATGTCACACACTATACCATTGGTATTGTTACAGTTATTGACAAAAATAGAGAAATAGTAAGGGTAGCATTTTGTATAAACAAAGGAATTATTGATATTGAAATAGAACAAGAAACTGCACATTTCAATATTAATGGAATACCAGCTTGTAGAATTCAAATTCCATTACAAAATTCTTTTGTCTTAACAGTTCATAAACACAAGCGATAACATTAACACAGACCTCACTATATTTAAATAATCAAATGTTTGCGCGAGGCCCAATCATATGTAGCTTTAAGCAGATGTAAATCTTGGAATGATATAAAAATTTTGGCTCTTACACCTGATGCATTTTTAGTTGATGAAAGAATAAAAAAAGAATATATTAGGCTAGAGAAATTATCAGAAACTAGATTACCTATTTAAAATCTAAATATTAATAAAATTATTTTTATTAAAATACGAAATAAAACGGGTGGGTGACGTAGTCACCCGCAGTGAAAATCAAATCCTAGTTCAATTCATAATAATTAATTATGTGTGTAGATCATGCCTCATTTAGGAGCAAAAAAAAATGAAAATACCAGTTATAAAACAAAAATATTCCATTTTGGTTATGCTTAAAAATGTTTTAAAATCGTGTGGTATTCATTTATTTAGTTTCAAAAATAAGATAAAGGAAACGATCTTCAGATTCATCATGAGGCTTGATATAAAAACGGGTAACGATACTATTATTGAAAATAATGTGTTAAGTTCCTCTCAACCAGGCGCACGAAGAAACGGAATACCCCAATAATCAAATAAAAAAAAAAACCATAAATATCCTTTTATATTTTACGATAAATCGTGATTTAAAGCTTGCTTGATTACGTCACAGTAACATTCCTTTATTAAAATTAAATATGACGAAAATTTTTCTTATGATTTTTATGTTTTATGTTCGCCATGTCGTATTTGGACAGGAGTTGTTTCACTATTGTAACAATCCTGATGCTATCTGTCGTAGTCTAAATGACCTATTAAGACCTTGTTTTTACGGTATTAATTTTCCTGGTCCAATTTTGGGACCTAAAATGGGTTTTGGTAATATATATATATATATATAAAACGTTTTTTTTCGAATTTTTTTTTTTTTTCCCTTTATAAAAAAGTTTATAATATAAAGGGGTGCTAATTCGATAATTTTATTTATTTATTTATTTATTTTTTAGAAATTTTTCCATTTCCAAATTGCGTGTGTAATCAAGAATTTTACGATGATATGGTTTCCTGTGGAAATACTTGTAATATTCCAGTCGACGATCCAGAAGAATTTGAATTCGATTGTAAAGAATTCGGAGCTTCAGTAAACCTTGGAGGTGGAGGAGGGTATGTACTTTACAAGTAATGTTCAAAAAAAGATTTTCAAAGATTATTTGCTCATTTTCATTCATTTTTTTTTTTATTAAGAAATTCAAAAACAATCCCAAATTCAAATACAAATCCCAATTCTAATTCCAATACAAACCTAAATTCCAATTCGAATTCAAAATCTAATACTAATACAATAATAGACGCACCTAAAGATAAAGATCAAAAGTTTCATAAAAATTTATTACCTATTACACTAGGAGGATTGTTTGCTATAGTTATATTAATTGCTATTATAATAATGTTTGTAAAAAGAAGAAAGGAACAGTCTCAAACTCTACAAACACAACCACAATCACTACAAACATCAACAAGTTTTATATACGTCGCTGATCCCCTTAAACCCGCTCATCCCACTCATCCCGCTAATCCTATTCATCCCACTAATCTTACCAATTCCACTAATCCTACTCATTCCACTGATCCTACTCAACCCACTGATTTCCCCCAACCCTATAATCCTTGTAAATAGGTCAATTTTTAAAAAGCAAGTTATTTCTAATATACATCCGGTATGTGTTAGTTATATGTGCTTGTACCTTTATGATTTATTTAACGGGATAACGGAAAGAAAGATAGTATTAATTATGATTTTTGAATCCAATTTGTCAATTAACGATCTCTAAGCCAATTTTTATAAAAAAATAATAAAAAAAGAGTATTTGTTGCGCCACAAAAAAACACACTTTTAAAAATGAATGCCCGAAATAGTCCTTCTTTTATAGTAAAATTAATTAATCCTTTATAACTTAGATTCATAATCAGTTGATAGCACAAAAGTTCCATTAAACAATGCATATTCATTGTTATAAAAAAAAACATATTGAGTAATATTTATCAATAATACAAATTTAGCAGGTGAGGTAATAGGATTTTTTTTTCAACTCATTATTTAACCTATTTAACCAAGTCGGATGATTTCTTAGTATTACAAAAATTATCATACAAATTCTCTATTTATAAAGCGCAAAGTAGACAACGTTCAATCGAAAGACATTAACTATTTCTTATCGTCATAAAAACATCCCATATTTTAAAAATATATGTATATATAATATATTATCGCACGGTCATGCTGAGTTTGTTGGACCAATATTTTTTTATATGAATATCAATAGTTTATTTGCGTACAATATTGAGCATCAATAGTATATCTTGTACAATATGCTACATAGTAAAAAAAAAAAAATAGTAAAAATTTAAGGATCTGTAACGTCAATTTTCAAATTTACCTGTTGTAAAACCAATCCCACTATTTATAAAATCAATTAAATTACTAGTATTCATAGTAATTTCTAAGTTAGTATTGCTTGAATCAATTTCTTGTAATGGTTCGCGCATGATTTTTGAATCATCAATTTTTGATATTTTACATTGAGAAATCATAGCAATAAAAAATTAAAATTTATTAATAAAAATAAACAAGAAAGAAAGAAATGGTTTAAAAAAAAAATGTTTATACTTAAATAAACTTTATGTAGAGCATGATCTGAATTTGCTGTACGATAATATGGATATTGTACGGTGGTATTTACGTTGGTTAACGTCACTTCGTAACGTTAACCAATATAAATATAACACCGTACAATATCCATAAATTATCATGATGATGAAAACTTTTCTTATTATTTATCTAATAATAATTTTTTATATCGGGAATGAGAAAAGCATTGTATTGGCACAAGATTATTTTCATGATTGTAAAAATCCTGACGCTAACTGTTATAAGCTAAATGAATTTTTGAAATTTCAAAATTGATCTTTGCTGTATATATTAAAAAAAAATAAAATTTTTTTTCAAGTTGGTCTTTTCCTTTATTCTATTTTTTTTTTTTTTTTATTTTTTTTCAGATACAGTATATGGACATTTCCAATTTGCATGTGTAGTCAAGAATTTTATGGATACCTGGTTTCTTGTGGAGAAGTTTGTAATATTCTTTCTCACTTTTTTATATTAAGGAATACAAATTCAACCACAAATCTTAAATCCAAATCCAAATTCAAATTCAAATTCAAATTCAAACTCAAATTCAAATTCTGATTCATACGTTAAAATTATAGGAATTTAAGGATATTGATTATAAGAAATTATCTTTTTATAAATAAATATTACTAATTTACAGAAGACTTTTCTTTTTTTTTCAAATAGCCAATAAGAGCAGTAACAGCCATAATACCACGGATGACGTTATATCACCTATCAATTTTCTTGATGCACCGGAATTGGTATTTACGTTTATCGTAATTGTATTTGTATTTGTATAGAATCCTTGAGTAAATAATTGCATTATAAATTAGGAATAATTTACATATTAATACATACTAATCTAAATTATATTTGGGTCATTATGTGCTAATAATCTAGACCCAAAACCGACCCATTAATTCGGGTCGACCGACCATCTATTAATATTTTTGACTCCAAGTTTAAAAAAAACAATAAAAACCATACTCTATTAATAAATAACAAAATTCATTACATATTAAAAGGGACTGACAAAAAAAAATCCCTAATACTATTTTCATATAATATTAATAGCCATATACGTATTTTTTTTTTTAAAAGAAACAAAAATAACCGAATAGGAAAGTTAGGAATCAGCTGCGCCAATTACCGAAGGATCTTTAGTTTTAATAAAGAAATAATTATGAAATTTTGTCTTTATTTTACTTTTTAGTATGTTTATAAGATAAAAAGATAATTAAAAAGGCGAAAAGGCGGCTTTGAGAAAAGTTACGGACTTTAAATTCCTGCCTGCATGGTAAGTAAACCCAAATAGGGCGTTTTTTGATATTTTTGATGTTTTGTATTACCATTATTTTGGTTTTTCTCTATCGTTATTCTTTTTTAGAACAAAAAATTACATTCATACAGAGGACATTACATTCAACTCTCTATAGTAAAAATGATGAAAACTTTTCTTATTTTTTATTTAATGATAATTCTTTATGTCGGGAAAGGGAGAAGTGTCGCATTGACACAAGGTTTTGATTGTGATAGACCTGACGCTAGCTGCTATGAGCTAAATAAGCTTCTAAACCGTTGTGGTTACAAAATTGATTTTTTTAGTACATTTTATGGAAAAAAAATGGGTTTAGGCAGCGTACATATAAACGTATACTGTACATATAGAAAAGAAACTTTTTTTCGAGTTGAATTTTATCCTAAGAGGTGCTAAATTCTATTTATTTATTTTGTTTTTCAGATATGTGGACATTTCCAAGCTGCATGTGCAGTCAAGTATTTTATAAAAATCTGGTTACTTGCGGAAATGCTTGTTATATTCCTGTGAGCCAGCAAAATATGAATCCGATTGTGAAATTGGCAATCATCCTGTAAACATCAATGGTGTAGGAGGGTATGTATGTCCAAAAATTGTTTTTCAATATCGTTTCTCATACTCATCACTTTTTTTTTTTTATTAGGAGTTCAAATTCAAACTCAAATACGAATACGAATACAATAAACATAAACAAAAATTCAGATTCAGATTCAGATTCAGATTCCAGTTCAGTTTCATTAACTCTTAAAATAGGAGGACCCTTGTTAAATATATAATTTCAGATTACCGTTCTATTTAAATTTATTTAATAAGTAATTGTTATCGGTCATGTATGACGTAAGCACCGAACATTTTTGACATATATTATTCAATCACTTTCTAATCATTTTTAGACTTTTATCGACTTGCTTTATTTTCTCACGCCTAATTTTTTTTCTTTTTACATTTTTTTCTTTATTTTTTTTTTATTATACATATGACATTTACACAACTTCTAACACAAGAAGAAATAAGCAATGTGCAAAAAGCTTCACTTGTTTCAAATACTGAACAAAATACTTCTAAATGGTTAAGAGTTGTTGATCATTTTAACAAAAGTTGTGGAATAACTAATTCTATTGAACAAATAGATCCTTTAAAAGATTTAGAAAATTATCTTTGTCAATTTATTACATGGTTGCAAAAAGAAGATAGTTCTGATTATAAGGTTGAATCTGTTTATAACTGTTATAGTGCATTGAATAGATATATTATAGAACATAGCATTCTTTAACCAATAAAAATCTTTGGGTGATCCTGAAAAGTTTGATGGATTGTCTGCTAAAGAAATTAAACAATACTTAATCATTTATATATGAATATTAATTCAAATGAATCACTTACACATCAAATTTTTTTCTGATTATGTTCATTGTGTAGATTACGTATTAGAGATACATATAGACTTTGTAGAATAAGTCTTGAATGTCATCAGGATGGAGGCCTAGAACTTATATTACATAAAGAAAATATAATCAGGATAGTGACTTTTTTTAGAAACTAACATGAAAAATCAGGTTTACGACATATTTTTATACCTTCTGATTCACCTGATAATCAATATATACTTATAAAAGATATTCTTTTATTTTTATCTAAATTACCACATTCAACTTTATTACAAGATCCTTTATTTCATGAAATATGTAAAAGTAAAAAAGGTATATTATAATATATAGTATAATATATTTAATATGTTTATTATTCTTATATTTTAATTATTAATCATTTTATATAAGATTTACAAAAGGGTAATTGGTTTAAAAATACTCCAATAGGTTATATAAAACTTAGAAAAATAATGAATGATATTGCAGTAAATACTAGAATTAATCTTGATAATGAATGTAAAATTATAAACCATTCTTATCATCATACTGCAATTTAAATATTGAAAAATAATGGGCTTTTTGATTCAGATTTACAATCATTTCTGGTCATTAGTCTTATGAAAGTTTGGCAGATTATTGCAAATTAGTGATGATTAATAAATATCAAATACTGTGATATTGATTTTTTTTCATTAGATAAATGTAATTTATCTTCTAATAAAGATACAAACAATAAAAAATGTAAGATTTTAAAATATTTTTACTTTACATAATTTAAATTTAAAATATTTATAACAATTTAAAAAAACTCAAGTTACTTAAGAAATTCCAGTTCAAGAAATTCAAGTTCAAAAGTTTAAGAAATAGATGAATCTAATGTTAAATTAAAAGCAATTGATTTTTTTATAACTCAAGAAATTCAGGTTCTATAATTTAAAAAATTCAAGTTAAGAAATCTTATAATTCATCCAAAATTGTAACTTATAAACCACCTTGTTATCTGAATTCTCCAATGTTAGCCTATTATAGAAAATGTTAAAAACTATTATCTTTTGTTAATAATAATATTATTATTAAACTTCCTCTGATTACTTTCTCACTAAGTTGTAGTTTAAATATTAATTTAAAAATTTTCCCATAATTAATTTTTAAAACTATGATTTTATTGTAAAGTAAATAAAAACTTGTGTATTTTAAATATGAAGTGAATAAAAATTTGTGTATTACATTAAAAAGTGATTAAATAACATATGTCAAAAATATTTAGTATTTACATAAAACGTATCTGATAATGTTTTGTTAAGGATAATTGGCTATATTAAACCTATGTATCTAATTTAAAGCATAGGAGTAAGCTTTAACTACTTGATTAATGACTTTAGAAGCAAGATGTTAGCAGTTATTTCAATAGCAACTCAAAATATTTATATTATTTTATTTTTTATTTTAAATGATTCAAGAACTGCTATATAAATATTTTTCTTAATAAAATTTATGATAAAATTATATGCCTTTCCTCATAAAAGCAAAAAGGTATTTATCAATAAATAGAAAGGTAAAGAAAGTTGAAATTATTTTTTAAAAAAGATTTCTTAAAGAAAGAATAAGTTTCTTTTTATTAATTTTTTTTCAAAATAAACAAAATTTACTATTTAGTTTTTTTTCTTGAAGTTTCCTTGTCTGCAGCAACATGAACCAAATTAGGAATATTTGCAATAGTAATATCATTGTCTAAAAAGATACTACTGCACAAGGTGAACTTAATCCAAATTCCATCAATATCCAAATACAATTGGAGTCAAAGTCCAATAGTCCAAATTCTTTCAATTTGATTAAATTTCATGTAGTTAGACTTTAAATATTATTTTTTTAAAAAAAAAAAAATAGATTTTTGCATATTTTTGTGTTGATTATAATTCTGGGTAAAAACAATATCACTTCGGATTCAACAAAAATATTTTGTGCTATATACATATATAATCAAGTATTTAAGCTTCCCCAATATGCAGTAAACATTAAAGCAAGATTATGTTTGAATGAAGAACAGAAAAATTTCTTGACGGAAATCATATGTATAATCATTATTACAAATCTTATTGTTTTATTTGGAACTATGGTCTAAATGGTAATTAAAAAAACCCCTAAAAATGTGTGTATGGTTTTTGTATAGAAAAAACCATACACAACTGAAGAATGCTGCGGTCCGCAGAAATTTATAAAAAAAAAATACCAAAAAAAATATTCCTTTGCGACACTAAGCGAAATAATTAAATAAAGAATACCGAATAATTGCTGCGCCCCGAAGCAACAAGAATCACGTGACTATTCTTAATCATTGCACATTCTACAACAAATTTATTTTTTTTATCAAAAACAATATTAAAAAATTTCGACGAATCATTTGCTATGTATCTGTCAAACAATCCAGTACGAACCCACAACTTTTTTTGCTTATTTAATAAATTTTTTTTTATTTATTTTCTTACAAATCTACCATAACTTTTCGGACTGGGCACCAGATACTCCAACTGTGGATAACGCGAAATGGTCTATATTTCTTCTTTAGCTTTGCTTAAGGCAGGAAATCAAATCAGTTGTCATAAAAATTTCTGGTTTTTGCGTGGTTATTACTGGGTTAGAAAATACTATTCATCACGCTAATAATTTCATTTTTAGTATTTGTTATTTGATAGATGTTAAAACACGGTTAGTTTTATTTAATTTTTCCAAGTATTATTCAACATCAATTTATATAAATTATTGATAGGACGTGCCAAAGTACCTATGGAAGTTATGGATTTGATGCTAGGTGAATTAGTGTACGTGTAATTGATGTATTTGCTACGCCTCAAAGTGGTACAGGCGTTTCCGTAGAAGCGGTCGATCCCAAAATGTTGGATATGTTGAAGCAAACTGGACGGTATGAATTGAAGTCTTTTGTGTATGAGATTATTGAGAATCATGTCTGATTTCGATTAATGAATTTTATAGACCCGAAATGGTGGTTGGCTGGTATCACTCTCACCCTGGATTTGGATGTT